TTCTAAGTACATTTTTGAACCTCTTTCAGACATATTCTAATCCTACTGTGTGTGTTCACTATAGGCCAGTGTTTCTCAAAGTGGTCCACGAAACCACTTTCAGAAACCTGTTAACTGGGTGTGCCTGTTTATTTACCAGTGCTGTGGTCACAGAGCCTCATGGCTCCTGTTGGCTCCGTTTTGCTGTTTGTAACTTAGGGGAGTCGTGGGAAGTGGCCTGGGCTGGGCTGCCGCTTCCCGCGGCTCCCCTTGGCTGCAAACAGCAAAATGGAGCCAATAGGAGCTGCAAGGCTCCGTGGCTGCAGCACTGGTAAATAAACAAACTGTCACAGCCAGTAAACAGGTTTCTTAAGGGATTTCATGGACTACTTTGAGAAACACTGCTTTAGGCTAGTAGAAGTAGCTGTTTTGTTTTTAATGGCCAAATAACTGTGATATTGTGAGATTACAGATTAAATTAGAGGTTATGCTAAAAATCTAAAATAAATTACCTTTCCATAATGTTCATCTCATTAGACTATGAAGAATTTCTGTCCGACTATTCATACATACCTTTAGAATCCCCATGTTAGATAGGTATTCACAGAAGCAAAACTGTTTTTTATCATATCCAACAAACCCTGTCCTCCAATTTTACAAAGACTTATACACATGCTTAACTTTATGCACTTGCAATAGTCCCACTGAAATCAGTAAGATTACTCACACTGCATAAAATTAACCATGTGCTTAAACCTTTACAAGATCAAGGTCCATATTTGCATCTGCAAATCAACGTCTGTTTAGAAACACAGATTGTAATTTTGTAAGTTACTTGTAAAATTTTGATGCTTGCAATGTAACAGGAGGTGCTGCACTTAGACTGACATGTCAATGAATTGTAGAGGAAAAGTGTGATTGTGTACCCAGCTGATGAGATGCCTTGTGTGACTTGCATTCAGCTGCTTAGAAACTAGCATATGGGTCATGAAGCAATATTTGAACATCCTGGTCTTTCTGAATGCACTGTTCGTAGACAGCAAAGTTATTTTTAAGATAGGCATGTAATCACTTATGAAAAATAATTATAATTAATCATATATAACTATAACATCTGTAGTCACTCCAGATTTTCTATTAGATCTTAGCAAGTAGTTAAATCCCAACACTGGACTAGAATAGTGAATATGAAGGGCCATTATTCTAGTAAGTGAAGTGAACTCTGCTTGACAGTCAAAAGAGAACTCTAAATAAACCTTGGACACCAAACTCTCTGTAATTCTTACTATAAGTACTGACACTTATAATTCTTAAGTGTATTTCACTGGTCTATTTTCTTTCACAAATGATTATGTTAAAAAGTCTCACTCACAACTCCTTCACCATTGCTCTGATGATGAATTTGATTTGTGAGATTGTTATTTCAAGATTTGTAGACCCATCTCTTTCTTCAATGATTTATGACAGTGTCTTTCACAGTTGCAAATTCAAAAAAATGTTTAATAGTTAGAACAAATAATACATAGAAAGTGTATTTGACTTTGCCTGATTGTTTCTGTATTCCCCTTGCTAATTTTAAAGATGTGTGTGTATAACAGCTTTCTCTTTTAAAACATAGCATCTAATTGCTTCTCTAGTGAAATCACTATTTTGCCTTTATAACCTCAATATGTGTCGGTAAGTTTGTCACAAAATCCATATTATTTATGATTGTTGATTCCTGTACCACCACAGGTTGCATAAATAATACTTTACAAATGAACATAAACACATGTGAATTAAATGTCCAATAAAACAAGGACCAATAATGATGCTGGATGAAAAAAATAGGTGTTTAAAAACAATGGACAATCCTCTGTTGGTGTAAATTGTCATAGCTTCTTTGTGCCACAATTTACACCAGCTATGTTCCAAATATATTTTATAATTAGCAAAGTTGTTAATGATTTTAAAAAAAACCATGAGATGTATTTGGCTTTATGTTCTTGAGACTGTATGCATTGTGTAATTCTTTTGTGAAGAGTTGGAGCTTTCTTTTCAATGGGCGTTTTGCCAGAGTAAAGAGTGCAGGATTGGGTACCAGGACAATCACTCACATTGTGACAATCACTAAAGTAGTTCCCTTAAAATCTGCTCAGAGGCTCACAGTTAGATCTGGTATAATTTTGAATCTTTAGCTTATGATATGATTTTTTTGAATTCCAGCATAGAATCAGAATCATAGAATACTAGAAATGGAAGGGATCTCAAGAGGTCGTCAAGTCCAATCCCCTGCCCTCATAAGTAGAGTAAATTGTCATTTGCATATGAATACAGTCCCTTCCCAACACTTAAGTATATTTGTAATTCCACTGAATTCCAGATACTCACATACTCAAACACTTGTAGGACCAAGGCCATAATTCACAATTTCAAGCACTCAGACACTACAGTGATGGGCATGGTGTAAAAACATAGAAAGATCCTACAATTTACAGGGAAGCAAAGGTGAAAGTAAGCTAGTGAGGCCTGGTGTAGCACGAGTAAGAAAGTGGCCAGCTGGGGAGAAGACTCTGGTACAGACGCCTTAACCCTCTCCTTCCTCCCCACCCAAAGTTGAAGCTGGCAGCTGGGACCCTGATGCACAGGGCTGCAAGGAAAGCCCTAGGTGCAGAGGGCTGGCAGCCAGGACTCCAGGGCGTGGAGCTGGTATCATGGACCCCAGCACTGGTGCAGGATACTGGGGGTACTGCAGCACCCCATCCACCTTTAGCTCCCTTCTCGTGCCTTAACAGTGCTGCCCCCACAATTCCCATTTGGCTGGGGACAGGAGCAATGCAGAACAGGGTCAAAGGAGGACTGCCCCAGCTCTGAGCCTCTCATCCCATACTCTACCTTACATACACCCAGCCTAGCCCCCTGCCCTGAGCCTCCTGCAACCCCCTTACATTTCTTGCCGTTACTGACATAAAGCAATCCCCCCAACTCCATGCCCAGAGGGGGGGTGCAATACAACAGTTCCGCTAAGAAATTTAAGTTACTTTCACCCCAGCCTACAAGAATTGAGATTTTTATGTAATTGCTTTATTATTTCACAAACAAAACTCAAAGTATTTTTTTAATCAATTTTGATGGATAATTGATCAGGTTTAACATTTTTATTTGACCAGAAAAGGAATCTGTTTTTCTTCTAAAATTGAAAATCTATACACACCCAGGAAAGCTGACAAAAAGAGAGGACAGGACAGGAAAGCTAACAAAAAGAGAAGCTTGCCACCTGCCCACATCCTTCTTACAAGCTGATGCAGACTTGTCTGTCAACCCAAACCTCCAGAATAATAGAGAATACAAGCACAAATAAAAGCACCTTTGGAGAGTGCTCCTGTTATCTCACATTCAGACACACACGGTGATGTGATTATGATATTCATATCAAATTTGGTGCTCTGTGGGGGTGTATGTGTCAACTCCGCTGTCTTCAAAGATGTCAGCAGAAGGGGCTCAGCATGTCTAGTGGCCTTTATCCTCAGGCCCCACAACATCAATTTCAAATGGTATGAGCTCTGTGTGGGGTAATGAGCCCCAGTTACATCCCTGAGCCAGCTATCTTTCTGCAATGATTTTTTAAGTCAGTAACAAATCCTGCATTGCCTAACCCAATGCCTGAGTGGGACATATAATTGTCAGATACTGATATTTATTGTTTGTCCCTACCTAGGACTAGGTCCAAGCCTGGAATTATAAAACAAAAAACATGTATCGGTTAGCTCCGGGCAATGAAAGTGTCGGAACAATTTTGCAGCATGAAAACCACTTAATTTCTCAGTGGAATGGTTAAAAAGTGGAGAAGTCAAATGTGAATGAACCTTCCCCTAAATTCAGGCTTGCCCGATATCCCAAGGAACATGTGTGTCAGCTGCAGGGTGCTGAGGGGCAGTCGCAGCGGCTGAAAAGAGAGGGCGAGTAAATAAAGCGCCTTCTGAACGGTACTATGGCTGCTGTGAGGGCGACCCACCAGTGGTAAACAGTCCGCACCGTGTGCGCCAACGCGTCCGTCCCCGTCTGGAAATTTCAGCCAGCGGAGGAATCGGGCCGGGAGGTGGCGAAGGGAGTTGATGGCAAAGGCAGACATGTGGCGTTGCAGAGGGGGGAGGCAGGAAAGCCAGGACTCCAAGGCTGCCAGCTGGGAGGAGGGAATCCCACATGTACGGGCTAGGCGCGTTTGTGGCGGCGAGAGGCTGGCGGGAGGGAGGCCCTCCGACCCTGCGCGCCCCTACGGATCCAGGGGGAGGGCGCCAGCCGCTGGGTCGGCGCTGAGGACACACGCCAGCCGCTCCACGTGGGGAGGAAGGCAGAAGGGAGCCGCCACCGCGGGCCGAACCCTGCGATTCCACGTGGCTGGGTGGAGGAGGTGGGACCCCGGCGGCGCGGGGAGCCGCGCGGAATTACCGGGGGAGGGGCTGTGCAGAGAGCTGGGCTGGCCAGCCAGAGACCAGCCTTTCTCTGCGCCTGCTGGCGCTGCGCTTGCCTTGTTATTGTCTCCTCCCCAGCCCGGCCACTTCCCCTAGTTTCCAAGTTCGGTTTGTTTCGGGGGAGGGAGAAGAGGGCGAAGAAAAGTGCAGCAGAAAGAGGCCGGCTCCCTCTGTCTGTCCCCCCCTCCGCCCCTTTCTCCTTCCCCTCCTTTCTTTCTCGCTGCGTCTGTTTGCACTTTAGCTGATCCACTAATCCCCCGAGAGAGCCTATTTGTAGTGAAGAGTATCTATAGGGGGCGAGGCTGGCCCATGTGGGTTTGTGTCATTGGTTTGCAAAGAGAGACCCCGCCTATTGCCAAAAAAAAAAAAAAAAAGGGCTGGGGACCAACCCCCTACCTTTCCCATCTACTCCGCCCAGAGGCGGGGGGGGCGGGGCGGAGGC